GGTCCTAACATACTAAATTCAAGTAAGGGGCAAGATATATTAATTACAAACTAATATTTCAGAAGAGTGGTTGGTTCTTAGAGCAAAAACGTTAAAACCAGATCTCTTGAAATCACAACATCCACTTGGAAACTGCAGGCTCAACTAACTACACAGCATTAGCAGAATAATTGAACAAAGACAATCAAAATCTACCAAATTACATCAAATTCAACCAAATAAACAAATCGATGATGTGAAATGTCACCATAATCCATCAAACAATCAAGTGCCGAGATCCAACTAAGAATACAATCAATACAAAATGCAACAAGTAACGGTTGAGAAGTACAAGTTGAAAATGCAATTGGATCGGATACTGAAAGTGAATTGGCGAAAATATAGATCGAAGGAAGAAGAAGAACCTTGCGAACGTATCCATACTCGCTCTCCTTCTCGGAATCCTCGAAGGTAGTCAAAGGACCTCCATACACCGGCGGCATCTTTCCTCGTATCCAATTAAACTGAAAAATCAAAAACTCGATCAGATATACGAACCGAATCCTAACTCACGAGATCCAATCGGAGTTCCAAACGAAATATCTTACTATTGATATTTCGATATGGACGGAACAGCTTGAGAGAAGACGGTGAATAATTGATACAGCGCCGGTGATGCACGTAATGGGGAAATGAAATAAGGAACGCTCGAGTGCTGACAGTATTGTCAATCATCCAATGATCTTCCGCCGCGTCACCATTTTTACTTTTCTGTAACATTCAATTTTTTTATTTTTTTTTTCCAGGACAAAGTGAAATTTATCCGTAAAACTTGATAAATTATTTTACGAATATTTTTATTTTTAAAGATTTTATCAGAAATTGAATAATGCGTTCACCCTATTACAAAGAAGTCGGACATTTGTTGCCAATAAAAAAAACATAAATGGGCAAAGTATGAGAATAAATAGACCGGCTGCTTGATTTATACTCTTAAGAGCTTATTTGAGAGAGATTAAAATCGGATTAAAATTGAAAAATTAGTCGTTATTGTTGACTTTTATTAGACGAGTGAGACCTAATAACTGCTATATTTTCAATTTTAATCCGATTAAAATCCCTCCCATATAAACTCTAAATGTATCATCTTCGTATTGCTCCGTAAAAATTCAACAATTTCTATTTGTAACTTAGAAACCGTATTTGCTTTATTTTGATTGCTTATATTAATGAGTTGTAATCCTTGTACATGCTTTATTTTTCTTATTTAAATCAATGCACACGAATGGCATTAATAGCACCATTGAAGTTTACTATAATAAAGGGTGATTATATTCATACCCTGCCTCATTTTAATTATAGTAAATCATTGTCGTTGAATTTTATTCATTATTAAACTTATATCCTTAACCTTTTTTTTTTTTGGTCACATTTTTATTTTTAATGTTCATTTATCAGAAAATCTTGTCTTTAATCATGATTTTTGTCCAAAAATATTGTTAATGTGTTTTAAAATTGTATTTTTGCATTATTATTTGTTCTGCTTATTTAAAAATACAGTGTGCAATGAGTCTTTTTATTCTATCTTAGATAAATTTTTGAAAATAAACCATAATCAGGAATAATTTGTATTAATTTGAGAATAAGAATGTTATGAAAAAAAAATTTGCGACATAAATATGAATGACGTGTAAAAGTTATGAACCTTTCATGCAATTAAAGTGTAATATAGTTATTAAAAATTGCGGTTTGGATATATTTAATTGTAATAAAATTAAGATTTTCTCAATAGTTTTGGTTATTTGGCATTCGTTTTGACAAATCAACTTGTTACTGATTTCACCATAGGGTATTCATAGAATCAACAAGTTTTTTTTATGTGTTCTTCATTCTTATGCTTCCGCTAAATCAAGTTGGTATCAAAACACATATGGCTTGCGATTGTGAAGCCCCGATAGCAGGCATACTATTACTTGATGAGGGCACACAAATTGTGAGAACATGTGTTTTGTTGAAACAGCAAGTACGAATACAACTACCGCATCATCAATTGGAAGTGTGGATGCAATAGTTGGACAAATTTTTCCACGTCATTGACCAAAATCAAGGGTCCATTTTTATTTTGAAATCCACCTTCCATTGGAATTGGATACTATTGTCTCAGTAAGAACCACACGTTTTCGGTGTTCAAATATTCAAATGTTAAGCAGTTTTATGTTATGAGAAATTTTGATTTTCCTCACATTATCCCCCTTGCATTAACCAAAGGTATAAATTATCAATCCAATTATTCCACATAATTTGTCAATATATTGTTGTCGGCCGCTTTATTTGTGATTTCATCAAATATTGGTATAACCTCAACATTGAAAATTGGCGAGCTATCATAGTTCTCACCTGAATTAATATTCATTTGCTTCTTTGGGATTGAAAGAGAAAGGACCATCATCACAACTGGAGTCCTCTGCTAACTTATAAGATTGCACCGTCTATGCAACCATCAAGCTAAAGGGAGTTTGCTCATAAAAGAGAGAAAAAGCAATGATTTAGTATGGCTTAATTGCATTGTTACTAGGACAAGATAGCAAATATTGATTATATCGTTCGATTTATATTTTCGTACAATCTTGGGTGGTCCCCAAAAAGCAATATTATTGCTAATTGTATATTCTTGAATGCTCATCCCAAATGGATGAAAATCACACATTTCGTATATTCACGCCATTCGAATTTATAAGGGAATAGTGAATTGATGCTTACTGATCTCGACTCACCGACTCTAGTATTCCTTCAAATAGTAGAATTGTAAAAAATTACCTTCTAATTCATCTTCATTTTTTCCCAAAATTTTTGGTCAATACCTAATAGATAATAAAAGCAAATGAATCCATTAGGTATTAGTTAGCATTAATGTAACTTCTCATGGAAGCTACTTGTTCTTCTCGAAATTCGTGATAAATTGAAAAAAAAATTACTTCATTTTTCATTGAGGGTATAATAGAAATTTGGTACCAAATTTGGCCATTTTTGCAAGAGTTGTCAAAATTAGACAATTTTCAATTGACAAGCATGAAATTGGCCATTTTTTTAAAATTCCCCTTGATTTGATCATCTCTGCATTTCGAGGTGAAGTAGCTACTCTATCTACTCATCCGTATGGGTGCCGTGTTATTAAGGTATAATGTTACATACTTTGACAGTTTTCATGAGGAATATTGATGGTTATAGACCATAAATAATGACATTATAATGTGGTTAAAATCACGAGTGGACACTGAATGTATGACGATATTTCATGTTGGTTATTGAACTTAAACACGTGTAACAATTTAGTCATTCTATTGGCAGTCTAGTTGGCAAATAACTATACTGCCATGTCACCTATTTCATTAGTCAAAACTAACGGGTGATCAAATTCTAACAAATTTTAAGTTCAGTGTCCAACTTGGAATAGTTTGAAGTTCAGCGACTGCCATTGTATTTAATCCCGTATGAATTTTTAAGAATCAGTAATTCCATATGTTTAGCCCTGTAGTTCTATAATTAACTGGAAATTGATGAAATATAAATTACTATGTGCCTGTCTGGAGCAAATTCTTTGACTGATTAGAATTGATATTTCAACCGTTGGGAGAGCCTGAAGCCGCAACTTTTGACTGTGTGTGAGAGGGGTGGGGGCCACCGTTGAAAAAAACGGCTATATTAATGCTGAAAATCTGCTGGAAATCACCAGCAGACACGCCCTATATTTCATATATTATGGAAACCCTTCTCTTGGTTCCCTTGTAGAGAGTCTTGGAGCATTGCCTAAATGATTTACAAAGTCAATTTATAATTGATGAGATTTTGGAATCAGAATATGATCTTGCTCAAGATCAGTATTATAATTTGCCACCTAATGTCTGTCAGCATTTCCGGTCACATTTACCTGTTTGAGTAGCTTAATTCATAAATATATCTGGTCATTTTGTTATTTGAATAAATAAATGATTGATTAATCCTAATTAATTGTACGGCTGTCGTTTCTTCTCAAATTCTGGGAGAAAAAAGTACCGCTTTCACCTTTTCTCGTTTTTTCCCCCATATTTTTTTTTTTGCAATTGCTTTCTTACACAATTTCAACGATTTGTTCTTATTTTTTCCGTGCTGTTCTGTCTGAATTCTTCTGGGTTTTACTTTTTATATGCATCTAGTTCCCTTTATATGTATTTTCCTGTAAGTTATTGAATTCAGTTGCGTGATTCAGTCTCAAATTGAAGCAGTACTGTAAGTATTGCATTGTTCAGTTTGATCGTTGATGGCTAATTTCGGCGAGATAGTAATAATTTATTTGAAGAATTATAGAATTTAATAGCTCGTCCTTTTAATTATACTTTTATCTAATTACAAGGCTGCATAGGGGAAAACAATCTGTAACCTTGAAGCAAGTCGGGATTGAATTGATTTTTTCAGAAACTTAGGCACTTTTTACGGAGGAAGAAGGTAAAAAATTTCCATGGTATTCCTTCATTGGCTTGTCTGTCATCATTGAATGCATCTATTGAATTGATTATATATCGAGTTTGCAGAATTTCTTACTAAGATCCCAATTGAGCGAGTGTAGAATTAGCGTGCTCATTGTAAAATATACTAATCTAGTGTAGATGGTGCAATATTTCTATTAACTTTATGTTTGGATTTTTTATGAATGTCACACAATGTTATGGTCAATGTTTTGAAGTTATCACATAGAAATCAGTGCCTTCTGGAAGTAAAATCTTTAATCATAATATGAGTTATATCCACGTATTTATCACCTCTGTAAAATTCTGGGAACTTACTGCCGTTCAAGAATTAGCCACACTCGCGTGAAATAGAGATACAAAGAATGACTACAACAGCAGCAGTTAAAGCAATTTATTATATGCCCTGGCCATTTGTTCTTTACCATGTAGCTATATCTCTTCTGTTTGTTTGATTTTGATGCTTTTTCTCCGACTATCTTTGTGATAGATTATACAATCCTTGCCATTCTCCTGTGAATGGCAGAGGAGAGCAACAAAGCAACTTTGCTTTCAGCTAATTGTCCTTTCACAAGGGTACCGGATCATCTGCTGATAGAGATCTTCATTCGTGTTCCCATCTCAGAGTGGGGTCAGGTCTCTTGTGTTCAGAAGCACTGGGCTAATTTATTTCGGGAAGAGTGCTTGTGGCATGCTGCTCTCATTTGGAGTTTTCCTTTGGCTGGTCAAGCTAAAAGGTGGCCAGGCCCTATTCCTCGTGGGTTGAGCAAAAGGTAAGTCCCATCTCTTCCTCTATGCGTGAGTGTTAAAGAGGTGTTAGATATCAATGAAACTAATGATTTTACAAGATTAAAAAAATGCAATAAGACTTCAATCATTTAGTTGTACTTATTTGATGATTCTTCATTATTCTTGTTGAGATAAGAATTTTTTTTTGGCTCATGTTTTAGCAACATGAATATGTATTTTTTTTTATTCAATTAAACCTACTGAAACGAGTAACCATACAATACTATTACCTATTTTCAGGAGGTTTGCTGCATTCTATGTCTGTAAATACATCTTTTCACTTGATGATGAAATGGATGAGATTGTAGGTCATACTTATTTGTTTCTGAAAGAGCAGCTTGAGATCTCAACCATGCCTCCTCCATCTGGGGTTCTCCATGGAACGATAATAGGTGCTGTATTAAATCATTTAGATATTTCTTGTGCGGTTGTGCTGATTACAGTTGGATCATAACTGCACAAGGACATTGTTATAACTTTTACATTTAAGAATCCAGAGTTTTTATGCTGAGAGACAACTGTTTCTCCAATCAAAATGATTTTGTGTCAAGGGTTGCCACTGAATTCTTTTACTTCGTTTTCTTTACGTTCTTAGAGCATGTTTGGCTAAGCTAAAAAGAAGTAAAAGTTAATAACCTAATTTTTTTTTCCTTACATTTAAGGTCCCATTTGTTTCCCATTATTTCAAAATATTGTTTGCTACAGTAAGATTCTCCACCACACATTCACATAATAAAATATTCTACACACAAACTAATAAAGTTACTTTAAATTTCAACTACACATTCTCTAAAAAATACTATTCATTACTCCATTTCTTCTACAATAATGGGAGACAAACACACACTAAGTAAAAAGTTAACTCTTGCTTACTTTATATTAGAAACTTACTTAAATTCAACTTAAGTTACTTATTCCAAAACCTATTTATTTACTTATAACTTTTTTTAAGCTTAGCCATACACTCTATCCAATAGATCATTTGTTAGAAAGCTGTTGTGTCTATTCAATTGGAAATGATGTTTGTTGCTGCTAAAAATTGAGACAATAGCAAATGGCGTGATCACACACTTGACATTTTCCTTAATCTGAGAACATAATTAACCAGACAGTTCTAAGTAAGTCTGTTGAAGAAATTTTATTTTCATTTTATCCTCAATTAAACCACTTCTACAGACGGTTTGTTTAGCGGCGTAGGAGGAACGTGAAGGAATTTTAGTTTCAGTGACCTTGTTGTAGGCATGAACTTATGAACTGAGTTTCAACGAATAAGCTGGTCGGTTGTGCAAATATGGAAGTCACATAAAGGAAGCTGGATGAAGCTGTAGAAAATTTAATTTTGGGTCATTCATGAAGGATTTTGAATTATGGGTCATTTGTAGATAATCAAGAAAACAATTCTCTGTGATGTTAATTACATTAGTATCTCTGCACACTCCAATTTTATAAATGGAAAACATATTGCATCAACAGTTCTCGTTAACCCAGTAATCTCTTTGCTTCTAGCAGATCAATTTATTGCCTGTGGCAAGTCACGAGACAAAGCACACGAGCTTGCTTCGCTTATCTGGTTGGCCGTTATTGACAACTACGAGGAAAATCAAGAAACCTTTCTGTTACTCAAACGTCTTGCATTTGAGGGAGATGTAAGCAAATTTCCAATCATTATCTTTTTATCAACTTGGTTTGAAATAAATTTAATACTTAAATGACGTGCTCTTTATCATTTAGAGTGTTAGATGTGCTAATGATCTTGTTTAGGCTATTGGTACGTATCGTGCATATTTTGCTACATTTGATATTTTTTCGCTTTACCTTTTTCGTTGCCCGGAGCTTGAGGTCAGATTGTATGCATTCCCTCAACCCCCCACCAAACACCGCATCAAGAAGTTTTTATTATGCATTGGGGGGAAATTTTCACTGGTGTGAGGTTTGCTCGTGTGGAAGGGTCGTTGAATTATAATTTTCTCATATTTTCCATTTCAATTCTGTCTCTCATTTTTATTATGTATATACCTCCCCTTCTGATGCATTTTAATCGTCTTCATGCGAAAATTTCTTCTGCATTAATACAAGAATTAAACTTTCTGTAGGTTTTTCTGTCATATCCCTACTCAAGATCATACAAAGTTCAGTGGAGGGTGTTTGAGAGGCTATTTACAGATTTTCGTGACTGCTTTAATCAGTCGGATTATTACGACTTATTGGCACTTGCCGAACACAAGTTTCAGCCAATACCCTCTGCTTGGTTGGGTTACTAGCCTATGTCAATTTGGTGTTCTGAATTGTGCAAAATTGTCCCTAAATTATGCAACTTCATTTCTGAAAATGGGTCTGGTCGGGTCTTAGGAACGGAGAGTCCAAATTTATCACTATTTCGTCTATTCAATGTGTCGAATTTCAAAGCCTCTCAACTGTTTTAATGGCGAAGTCTATTGACTACTTGAGCAACTGCAATATTTATTGAAAAAATTGGAAAGAAAAGATCTCTTCTTAATTCACAATTTTAGACTAAATTTGGAAAAAAAATGAGGTTGGGTGTAATGTTTCAAATTTGTTGTGCATTACCGATCGATGGTAATAATGTCAATTTATCAACAGTTCTTAGGGCATCTCTAATGGTAAGCTGTAAAAGTTACTCCAATGATACCTCCAATATAGTGTAATTTTTAGTGTAACGAGTAATGTCAAGTGTGACACTACTCATTACACCAAATATAGAATTCTTCATTTAACCTCATTTTGTCATCGTTGACGAATTACACCAAAAATCACATTATAATCACACCACAATAAAAATATATTTTTAATAAATGCACAATAAATTTACAATTATATTCATAATTCGATTCGAAGTGATTGATATAAATAATTAAGATTTTAGTGTTCGATAAATTTTTCAGATTTTAAGATTGAAATAGATGAAAGATGAGAGAGCTTCTATTTGTATTGAAATAAACAGATAACAAAAATAAGTTAATTTTGAAATTTTATATAGGGTGTTTGGTTTTTATTTATTAACTAAAATGTAGTATTATCTTTTAATCAAAACAATATTTTGTAATTATTTTATATATTTGAGTACATTTTTATTTTTTATTATTAAATAGGTCATTGTGAAAATATGAATAAATTGAAAATTCAAAATGAAAATATGTCTTGTTTATCATATATATATATATATATATATAGTGTCATCACAAAATTACTCATCCTTTTTTCATTAATATACATCTCTTGGAACCTATAACATTCCCCTTCTCTCATTTTTCCATTCCCTCCCATGAATTCATCTTTACTAAACGTGTTGGTGTTTTCAACTTCTTGAATTTCCTTAGCCCTGCTTCGATTATTTCAGCATCCGTTTTTGATATTTCCCATCATGTAACCCGTTTAATAGGGTTATCCGCTTTCAGTTCATGTTGAAACCCTTCCATTTGAAAATCTCTTTCAATGCTTCAAAGTTGCCTGAATCAAAGTCGGCACCAGATTTTCGTAGTGAAGTAGCAATTACTTCTGGGTCAACAGTTATTAAAGATCCTTCTGCCGTTTCTATTCCCAATCAGGACGATCTGGGAGCATCGCCTTCCGCTCATGAGGATGCTGTAATTGGTAAGAATGTGAGCTCTGGGAATGTTTTTCTTAATGTGGAGCAGAGCAGAGCAGTAGTAAATCAGAGGAAGTATTTTATGAAAAGAATGTACCAAAGCAGCCGAATACTTACCTTCAGCAGCATAATGGATGCAGTCGAGGAGAAAACAACGTGCAAAATGACACGGAAAAATTCTCCCTTGGACATGTCCAATTTTCCTCAGCCGAGATACAACCACTTTTACACACTCCTGGACCCACACCCCCTTTATATGCAACGGCTGCGGCATCTTTGGGTACTGGAAACCCATTTTATCCTAATCTAAATCCTTCTGGCTTATATGTTCCAAAGTACAGCGGATATGCTTTGGGTTCTGCATTTCTTCCCCCATTTGTATCTGGATATCCAACTCATTCTGGTTTACCCATGCATTTTAATGCCAGTTCTGGACAAAGTTATGGCGGTCAAAATGCTGTAGTTCTGACAAGGGAAAGCATCCCGAAAGGTAGTGATACACAGAATATCGAAAAGTTTTATGGACATGGACAAATGATGCGTCCATCCTTCCCAAATCCTCTTCCAATGCAGTATTTTCAGCATTCTCTAGAAGATGAATATGGTGCTCCAGGGCAGTTTGGCCGTCTACCATCACTAGGTGTGATTCGAGGCCAAGCTGATTATTTTGCTTCTCTGAGAGATCCGACCAGAATTTCCTGTCAAAACAAAATGTGAGTCTCAGTATTCCAAGTCCAAGGAGCATGGGGGTAGCTGGTAGCAGTTACTTTGGAAGTCCAACAGGCCTTGGATTTATGCCACAATTTCCTGCATCACCTCTTGGTAGTCCAGTGCTGCCAGGATCTCCAGTTGGAGGGGCTAATTTTTCCGGAAGGAAAATGATTATGGATTTTTTCAAGGTTCTGTAAGAAATAGTGGTGGTTATACCGGATGGTGATAAGTATATTTTGTATACTTATCTAGACCAAGAAATTAGAGTATTTGTTAGTGATTTGGATGAACTATAGCTTAATTTTGTGTTAATTATGTTTGTCAGGTTGAACTCAATGCAAATTGGTGGATTTGGAAGAAAGGAACGAAAAAGTGCGAAAACGAAGGAAATCCAAAGTTTGGGGACCAAAGTGTAAACATCCAATAGTTGATTTGGAGCACAAAAAGATAATTGAAGATCATATAGGACCAATTGGATGTAATTGGAGTTCAAATGAGTGAAATATAGTAGAAGTATTTTGACAAATTAATTTTCAGCCGAAAAAGTTATGCTCCAGATTTTTAGCCTCAACTTGAGACTCATTTTTAGAATAGAAAACGTTCAAATTAGAAAACTTGTATTTCTAGAAGAATTGTAGCCATTTGAATTAACTTCCCAACGAATTTGAATTAGCTCAATTGGATACATGTAGAGAAAGTTATGACCAAAATACTGAAAGCTGCTCAGAGATGAACCTGCGTGCGCGCCCGACCTTATTTTTCCCAACCCGAGAGTCATTTGGTTCTACCGTGCGCAATCACAGGCATTTTTTGCAGACAAATCTTTACTTCCTTTTCGCAATTCAAACTCTTTTGGAAATCAAATTGGACGCGGTTTTGACATATTTTCTGGCTCTTACAAATAGAGAATGAGGGCTACACATTTAAAAAAAAACCTCTCTTGCCTCTTCATATACAATAGATTATCAAATTCATCAAAAACAAGGGGTCAATTGCTATATTTTGAGAGAGGAGATCAAGCCCTAGCAACGAATTGAAGGTCAATTACATCAAGATTTTGAAGAATTCAACATTGGGTTCTAAGATCAACTTCTTTTGATTTATTTCATGATATTTTTCTATTATTCTTTTTGTAATTTATATATTAACATGTTAGGCTAGATCATTTTTTGTATTGGATGAAGATTAACCCTATTTGTTATTTGTTTTAATTCAAGATTAGTAGTTGAATTTATTTCTTACATTTCTTGATTTTACATTTCTTGATTAATTTTGCATAACATTATTTACTTTATTGGCCACCAATTAGATAATTAGTTGCTTGTTGTAGTGTTGTGAGACTCACAATAAGTTTAGAACGCGGTAAAATTAACATACGTGCAATAAGTGTTAAGAATAACATTTATCACATGTGCAATCATATAAATAATCTAAATTTTAATGCATTATAATTATTCGAATTCAAACTAGGAATAGATTTGGGTCATGAATAAAATATATTTAATTTGTCTTGAAAAAGAGAATTAATTACAATAGAATTATCGATTGTGAAGAACGCATGAACGAAATTAGATTACAAATCAAGAACTGAAATAGATAACAATAGACGGATTCGACATCCAATATAATCAACCATAAATTGATAAAAACCACATTGTTGGATTGAACATAAAACAAAATCAAACTCTCTTTTGTTTACACAATTCGAATATCATACATAACTAGTAAATTTGGATTGAATTTATTCCCTGTGGGACGATAACTTTCAACTCATCAATTCTATTACTTGTCAACAATCTCGTACGCTTGCGGGTTTCACACAAACAGATGGATAGAGCAAAAAGGGTCTGACAGCTTCAATAACCCTAGGAAGCATTCTTTTCTTGAAGAACTTAAAGCAGGCAGCTCAGGTAGAATTGACCTTTCTGAGATCAAAGGGTGTGTTGTCGAATTCAGGTAGTCTTTGTACTAGGCTTCTTTATTTGTACGCAAAAGCATTATTTTATGCATGTGCATTTCAGTGTTGATCAACAAGGGAGTCGATTTGTACAACAGAAGATGGAAAACTGTAGTGTTGAAGAGGAGTCTGTTTTCAGAGAAATTCTTCCTCATGCTTCAAAATTAATGACAGATGTTTTTGGGAACTATGTTATTCAGAAGGTGTGGATTTAAATTTCATCACTCAGCCGTTTATATCTTTGATGTTACAGGCTTACAGGCACTTTTATTTCTATGAATTATACTAGGATTTCTTTTCGATCTGTGGAAATTTGCATGAGGGAGCTGTGAGCAGAGGATAGAACTGGCAAATCAACTTTCAGGGAAGATATTACCGTTGAGTTTTCAAATGTATATGGTTGTCGTGTTATTCAAAAGGTTGGTGATATATTTATCCTAATATTGTCATAAATGGCGTGGATTGTATTATAATTTATTGTCTTCCAAGAAACATGCCGCAACGGAGCATGTGCCTTTGAGGAAGAGAACCAGTTGCCACGGTAAGATAGCCACGATAAAACAGATGATGCAACCAATAAATATGAAAATGTAAAAAAATAATATATGCTTGCTGCTTCTGCTTGAATATGGGGAGAAGCAGAGACAATTTTTGCTCTGCACAAGTGCAAAACTATTTTTCAATTTTACATGTCTATGATCTAGACCAAAATGCCCTCATTAACAATTTTAAATTCCATAATGAAGACAAAATTATTTATATAATTAAAAATTGTATTAAGCAATAATAACTTGACCTATACTACTTATTTTAAAAAGTACCATGTCAATCATACATTAAATGCTCGCTTTTCCCCAGAAGTGAGTAAATAAAACATTTATGAAATGTCGAGGAGTACACTTAAAATGTCAATAACATTATAAAATGTAGAGGACTTTCATGTTTAGAACGAAATCTCGTTCTAAACAAATGAAGTGTCAAATGTCAAGGTAAACATGGTCTGAATGTCGATAACGGCTTTTAAAATGTCGAGAACGTTATGAAATGTCAAAAATAACAACTATTAAACACAATTTATTAATAAAAACAAGATTTCAAAGAAAAATTACCTTCTACCGAGAATTGTAAAAAATTACCTTCTAATTCATCTTCATTTTTTCCCAAAATTTTTGGTCAATACCTATAATAAAAGCAAATGAATTCATTAGGTATTAGTTAGCATTAATGTAGCTTTTCATGGAAGCTACTTGTTCTTCTCGAAATTCATGACAAATTGAAAAAAGAATTGCTTCATTTTTCATTGAAGGTATAATAGACAATTTGGTACCAAATTTGGCTATTTTTGCAAGAGTTGTCAAAATTAGACAATTTTCAATTGACAAGCATGAAATTGGCCTTTTTTTTAAAATTCCCCTTGATTTGATCATCTCTGCATTTCGAGGTGAAGTAGCTACTCTATCTACTCATCCGTATGGGTGCCATGTTATTAAGGTATAATGTTACATACTTTGTCAGTTTTCATGTTTCTGGAGGAATATTGATGGTTATAGACCATAAATAATGACATTATAATGTGGTCAAAATCACGAGTGGACACTGAATGTATGACGATATTTCATATTGGTTATTGAACTTAAACACGTGTAACAATTTAGTCATTCTGTTTATATCCTTTAGTTTGACTATTGGCAGTCTACTTGGCAAATAACTATACTGCCATGTCACCTCTTTCATTAGTCAAAACTAACGGGTGATCAAATTCTAACAAATTTTAAGTACAATGTCCAACTTGGAACAGTTTGAAGTTCAGTGACTGCCAGTATATTTAACCCCGTATGAATTTCCAGTGTATTTAACCCCGTATGAATTTTTAAGAATCAGTAATTCCATATGTTTAGTCCTGTAGTTCTATAATTAACTGGAAATTGATGAAATAGAAATTACTATATTTCATATATTATGGAACCCTTCTCTTGGTTCCCTTGTAGAGAGTCTTGGAGCATTGCCTAAATGATTTACAAAGTCAATTTATAATTGATGAGATTTTGGAATCAGCATATGATCTTGCTCAAGATCAGTATTAGTCTTGGAGCATTGCCTAAATGATTTACAAAGTCAATTTATAATTGATGAGATTTTGGAAGCAGCATATGATCTTGCTCAAGATCAGTATGGAAATTATGTCATACAGGTATTGGTTGTTTCAAATCATGTCACTTTACCAACTATTTTTGCTCTAATTTCTTACCTGTAAATTTATCTTTTATTAATAATTTTGACTCCTAGATTTTGTGCTTGAGTTGGATATATTTGACTGATAATTAATATTCTCCATTTTCTAATGTTAGTGAATTCATGGCAGTGGAGCTCCATAATTATTGAGAATGTTTGGTTAAGCTTAAAAAAAAAGGTTAAAACTAATTTTTCATTAACTTTTTGTCACCAAACATGTTTTGATATGTTATTTGTTTCTTACTTTTGAGTCCAAAAAGTTATTTGAGTTATTTCTTTTGAAAGTAGTAACTATTGGTTTACTGTCAAGTAAAGTACTTCATTTTCAAGATTGACCAATTAATTTTTTTTATATTTAAAGAAAAAATGAAAAAAATTGAGCTTAGCGAAACGTGTGCATTATGCTTTTACCTGTGAGGATTAGAAACTGATATCTAGGACAGACAATTATAATTTATTGGCACAATTAACTGACAAGATCTGGGTAGGAAATGCCATTTTCATCATTCTGCGAGTCTTTGAAAAACTGTAGAAAGATGGGATTGAAGGAGAAAATAACAAGTTATTTTGTTTTTAGCATGTGGAAATTTGATGTCCGTGCCAAAATGAAATCCAACAAGGGATATAGAACAATAAAAAAACCAAAAAATATTTACATTTGGGTACGCTCATCTAGGTTAGAAACTGTCTAGTCACGAGTGTCTTGGGACGTAATATTGTCTTGAAAACCTCCAGTTTTGAATTGCAATCTTCACTTATAGCTCACGAGTTTTGTGTTTTCCATAAAGAACTACATATTCACACAAATCAGTATTATCAGTATATCGAGCACTCCAACATGATTTCTATTGTTTCCTCGATTAAATATGAATACGCATGAAATGTTGTTCAATCTTAATCTTCTGTTCTTTTCCTTTTTTCTTTATCATGTTTCCTAGTATGTTTTCAAAATTTTACTTCAACTCACCATGAAGATTGGATATATCCTTGCAGCATGTTTTAGGAAGGAGAAAATCTTATGAAAGAAGTCACATTATTAGCAAGTTGTCCGGAAGAATCATACAATTGAGTCAGCACAAATATGCATCAAATGTTGTTGAGAAGTGCTTAGAATACAGTGATGCTTAGCAAAATATTCTCTCTTTTGTCGGGTTCCTAAATATATTTTGCATTTTTCATGTTCTTTCAATTCCCCAGGATTGAAATCAGCTCAACTAAGCTGTAGTCAGCAGGTTCAGATTGAATGAAGCAAATAGCATACACAATAATATTTTGCTGCAAACGGGTTAACAGTGGCTTTTCAATTCACTTTCTGCATTTTCCGTAGATTCCATAGATTAAAAAATAAAATGAGAAGAAAAGAAGACAGATAGTTTCAGATATTGCATTAAGATAAAGGGGTAAAATGGGAAATGCATATTTGTTTTTACCGAAACGTTTTTATAATTTTTGAGTTGTGCTATGTGTACATTATGGATCCCTTTATGGATCCCAGTACACATAGAATAATTCATAATTTTTTGCAAGGCGGAGTGTTGTCAGATGCTTCATTAAATTGCTTCTATTACCAAATTGAAGTTTTACTGAAACTAGAGCGACTTTTGCTGGCGTTGTTGTGCACCCTCAAACATGGTAGGGTGCCGTGTACTGATGTTATCTGATTGGTGCAAATTCCTTGTGGATATCCATCTAGCGGTGTCTGGCCGGATTCATTTAGGTTGTTACTGAAGTCGAACTACATTCTCAAATCTCAAGTATTAGTGTCTGTTGTCATGTATGTTTTCATTGTTGTGAAAATAATTGGGTATTGAATTTTCTTTACCGATTTCTTTTGCCGAAGCTGTTGCCAATGAATATCACAAACTTAAGTATGGAGCTTGTTTTCATCTTGCTGATTTGCTTTCATGATGTAGACAATGATGAAGGACCAATATGCCAACTACGTGGTCCAAAAGATTCTTGAAATTAGCAATGATGAAGGAAATTGTTACTCGACCAAATCAGGGTTCATCGTCTTGCTTTGAAGAAATACACCAACGGAAACGTATAGTTGCCCAGTTTGAAGAATTGTACGGTGAAGGTGAGGATATCTAGCTCGGTATTTTTGCTTTTAAGTTACAGAATCACAAGAATCCATGTATAGAGGATATTTGGCCAAGCTTAGAAGTTAGTGAGAGCATTGTTTGATATATTACTTTTTTCTACTAACTATAAAAATACATCTTTTGAAACTAGCTTTTCCTTGGTCTCAATATAATTTACTTATTTTTCAACTGACCAATGAAAAAATTGATTTATTTTAAAACTTATAAGAAGCTTTCTGCTTAGCCAGTAGCCCTTAAATTATGTTTGATCTACCTTTGATTATTTTGATGCAGAAAGCGGAATATCTGAACCATAAACTGCCTAGTATTGGCAATTTCTCTGTCATTTGTACCGGGATTGTAGCACAGCAGCTGGTGAGGACATGGCACATTGTCGCGGGGCCAACTCTACAAGTGTTCCTTACAAACGGCGCCGCATTTCTTATTATGATTTCGTGTAAATATTTGTAGTATATATATCAAAAGTGTAGAAATAGATGATAATAAGTAATTGCATGCCAAAAACAGTTGACAAAATTCAGCTTCTTAACTCATACTTGGCAGGTAGTTTTTCATGTGAAGTGAACTGGAAATTCGTGGTAGCCCCGTGGAACGGTGGATTAGCCTAGAATGTGCATGTTTAATGTAATATTGGATGGTATAATAGATACGGTTTTAATTGATTTCTTTAGAATGGGATTTGCACGAACAGTTTAACTGGGAAAATCAAGAACTAGCCATTCGTCAAAAGTTGAAAATATAGAATGCGATAAAATCGACAAAGAATGAGTCAAGCTAGTCCCTGTTTGTCCCTATTTTTTTAAAAAAAAAAATCAAATTCATTTTAAACTACATGGTTAATGGAATTCGCAACTTTTGTTAACATTTTAAACCTACATTTCATCAACTTTTATTAAAATTTATTAAAAATATGATTCATATCCAAGTCAAACGGAGCCTTATTTTCAAAATCAACTGGTTCACTATTAAAAAAGGATATATTTATCATATTATAAATCTATTTCATTAAAATTTTATAAAGCATTATATTCATTCACGTTCTATTCCAACATCATCCTTAATAATTTCATTCAATTGAATACTATATATTTACGTCATTCGAAAATCAGAAAGAAACTTATTGTGATGGAAAAAATGGTTTGGTTTGGGCTTATTATTTTGATATATTGGAATGATAAATTACTTAACAGAGGAGCTATAAAGATGCAACATTTGAGCCTCAATTTATTGAAAAGCGAACACAAAATCTATAAAGAAAGAAAGAAAAAAAAGAAGCCATTTTTTAAAATTTATTTTATTTTATTATTGTCTATTTATGTATATTTAGATAAAGTTAAAAATGTAATATAGAGTATTTTTTTAAAAGTTGATAGATATATAAGAATGTTAGTTATATTCAAACAAAATTTTAATTAAATTAAAGTCATTAAACTTAATTCATAATAAAACTTATTTTCTTCATTTTTTTCTTCATAAAANCTTATTTTCTTCATTTTTTTCTTCATCACATTATTATTTTTAACATTTCATTGATCAGAAAATCTTATCTTTAATCATAATTTTTGTCTAAAAATATTGTAAACGTGCTTTAAAATGAGAGTCGAATATTTAGACATTGTTTGGTGGCCTTTAAAAGTAAAACTATGTTTTTAATAGTATTTTTTTGAAGAAAGTGCGGTTAAAAAGTAAAGAAAAATTTTGAATTTATGTGTAGAATATTTTATTGTATGAATATGCGGTTGAAAATAAGTATGAGAAATAATGTGAAATAAATTAAAGGAAAACATACTGGGGCTTAATCTTATTTTTGTATTATTATTTATTTAGCTTATTTAAAATATAATGGATGAAATAATATGACAATGACCTTTGAACTTCCTTAGCGGAGCAAGGCGATCGATACTATTCCGATGAACAAATAAACACCTACAAAATGAGATTGGGTCTCTCCTCCTTTGTACCTCCAACGTGAAAATTAGTAGGGGGATTTCAAATGAAATCTTACAAAAATAAAGAGGAAATCAGAAAAATGTATTGTGAAAAAAGAAGATCATGTTACCTGGCATGCGTTGGGAGCATTCATAGACATTCAACACCATATAACCACAAGCCGGTTTTTATCCATGTGTCCAGACTTAGCTGTTGAAAGTGACTCGTGGCAATCATTAGCAATTTTCAATCGATTAAAAGGATGTTCAGACAATTACGAGTTATAATGATTAGCAATTTTCAATCAATTAAAAGGATCTTCAGACAATTGGGAGTTATAATGATCAACCCGTCATAGTACTAGTCAAGCTAGTGTAGCAATAGACGAACTAGCACAGCGAAAGTCGTCTAGCATAGCATAAGTTACCTGACATAGCGGAAGTTGTTCTTACCTGATGTTCTTTTTTTTGCTCTGAAATCTTCACAAATCTCAAAGTATATGAAAGATTTTTTTAATTTTTTTTTTGGAGATTTTTTATTTATATTTTTTACCAAAAAGCCTCCAGAAGTCCAGTTTGTAGAGAATTCTCCAAAAATCACTCTCTATTTGAATACCTCATGACTTATAGAGAGATATCTAAAAAGTTTCAATTGAATACTTCGTGAATTAGAGGCTTTTTAAAAGTCTATAGAAATCCCAATTGAGTACTTCTAAACTTTTAGAGAGTTTTTAAAAAAATTTAATTGAATGCATCTAAAATTTTTAAGTTACTTCTTTTGCTAAGCATGATTTTTGAAGTAACTTGAAATACTAACAACTTACTTTCTACAGATGTACTTTTAAGCATTGTCAAACATGCTCCAATTTCTCTTCCTTTTGGCGGGCAGGGTAGGGTTGGAGGGGAATCTATAATGAAGATTTTTCCAAGGAGGCAGAGGAGGTTGTATTTGGTTTTATCTTCCCTCCAGTTTCATGAGTAATCTCTTTTCTTAATTTGTTCGCCTTCCTTTCCACCAGTTTTTTGAGCATAGCAATTAGCAAGTATTGGTGTAAATCTGACTGGCTTGTTCCAACACAATCCTTATTTTAGGCGTGCCAGGTACATATCCTCGCAGGCTGCAGCCTGCAGGCCTCTACAGCCAGGCTTTCACATGCTGGGCCTTTCTGGCACACTTTGGCACCTTAATAGCAAGCCATCAAGTTTTGCTTGTTTAGTTCATAATGGCGAAACCACTCGTGGTCCAGATTCAGTCAGTATCTGGTCTTTATATTTATCTTTTACTTGTCCGGTTAGTTTCTTGCTTTGTCTCTATATGCTCGTAGAGAATTCGCAACCGAACAGGTCCTGTTTTGGCAAGATTTTCTGCGAAGAGAGAGGTCGCAAATTTTCTTCGCAAGATCACACTATGCTCTAATGCACAACATTCTCTACCGTCTTCCAGGCTAATGGTTGCTGCGGATCAATGCCATTTCTATGATGTATATTTGTATTCTTTCATGTTCATCAGCATCTTATATAGTGAGAAAACCCATTTATACTCGACTGTCTTTCAGCAGCACTTTACCAATAAATGTGTGCTTCATTATGATTCCAAGAAATTCCATCGATGCATGCACATTGTTCCACACAAATTGATACATAATCTAGAGTTTCGTCACCACTATCAATCTGTTGAAGATACAAGGGGCAACATGTTGCAAAACCAATGACAGTTAATAAACTCCAAGTAGTATGCCTGTCAACCAATTACCTAGTCAAATGGACTTCGTCTCTATAATTTTTCTTCTTCAGGATTACAGTACAGTCAACAGGAATGTAATTTCAGATTGATTTCCAGGGGATCAAAAGGTCTATTTATACATTGTTTACGACTCAAAAAAAAGTGTTGGTACACATTAATATGGTACCAACACCACCAGAGCTCCTCTTACCCGCTGGTACAGGCTTTCAGATCCTTGTAGCTTGCAGTGGGTTGACATTCAACACAGAATTCCTTACATTCAGCAAGATTTTCATAACGGACGTCTCTCTGCAAGCAATATATCTTTCCAGGCTTCGTAGAACATCCATGTGATACCAGAGTTAGGCATGACTTTCAAGCAACTTGCAGCCCATCCTCTGTAAAGGCCCTTGATACCTTCATTCTTAACAACTTCCGAAAGTGCAGCTGCCATGTGCGGTGGACAGTTACCTTGCAAAGCTCCTACCATAAGCCGTTTTCTTGCAACCTCCAAAGGATAACTTATCGTGCTTGCCGTCAAGCCTGAAAAATGTGAGCAGTAATTAAGAGGGATCGTGGGGGTTTAGTCACAATTCAAATTTTCTACAGAGGTGGGGACAATTGGATAGCTCTAGACAGTAAAGAAAGAGTAAGATGCTAAAATTTTGTTAACTACATTAGAATCCATGTTGAATCAAAGCAGTCCATCATGCAAGTTGAAGCTTCAAGATCAGAAATTAGAGTGTTCGGCAATGTGACCAGCATGTACTTGATCAAGCTGTTAAATGCTCATAAAGACAGCTTGTCTATTCTAGATTAATCTGTTGGCGGAGGAACAGGGAGTTAAGTTGAAAACCAATTTAGTTGAGGGTGCAGCAAATGGTGAAACCGTGATGCCCCTAATTTTATGGATAATGCTACATGTACATAATGGTGACATGGAAGAGAGAGAGAGAGAGAGGAAAAGAAAAAAAAATCAATTATTTTTCTCCGTCTCTTCCATGTCACCATTATGTACATCATTATGTACAAATAGCATAATTCTAATTTTATAGCCACTCCAAAGTTCACACCATAGTTGACGGAAGCGCATTTTGTGCAGTTGGGTTTATGAAATCCTCCAATCACCAGTTAAGTTAATTATAGCCAAAACGAGACTCGATAAAACTCCAATATCCAATAGATACACGAATTCAAAGACATCTGGCTTTACACAGCTCCACAAGAGTTTGCCGGAGAGTGGAGAAGACGGGTTGAGAGAGGGGCTCAGACATGAAGGTAAAACTTCTCAAAAGGATTCTTTGCTATGGAAATTGAAGGTTGGGGGCCCAAGTGCTAATGATTCGAAACTCTGGGAACCGTGGGTGCAATTTTCCAGACGAGTTATTAGTTGACCCACTAGTGTATATAAAAATGGAAGTATCACAATGTCAATGAAGGAAAACTAGCATATGCAAGAGAAAGTTGGAACAGTGGCGAAAATTCTCACCAGAGAGAGCTCCTAATAAGAGCATCTCAGCACGAGTTAAAGATTTCTTCTTCTTTGCCAGACAGTATGAGTTCTTCATTGTCTCATACATGAAGTAGTAACAAGTGCTATATGGGAGCATGCCGATCAATGTGGGTGAAATACCAGAGTAGAAAGCACCAATACCACCATCCTCGTAAATCTTGTGTACTGCAATACTTAGACTCGGATAACATTCAGGTCTTACAGTCAATCTGTCCTGTATAAGGTAAGGATAGAATCAGATATTTAAAGAGTGGCTGAGCAGTAAAACTCTCCATGATACAGAGAGTAACACACGAATCCAAGACAAGTCATAAAACAAGCAATAAATACACGTATAAAATATGAGTCAGTAAAGAGACTCCCTTTGTATTAAAATGGACCATCTTCCATTCTCTTTTGGGGCTTTTCAAAATATATCATCTTAAGAAAACAAAAACATAACACTCCACGGAACTAATCTAATTATCCCATTTTTGGCGTAATTCTCACTTTATCCAAATTTAAATGTTAAAGAAGTTATAAACAATTCAATTTATAAATAGATAGAAATGAGTGTTGAATAAATGGATATTACTTATGGGTCCATTGGAATGTGCAGTTGAAAATGAAGTTTGACCACTTATAAATGATTTATAAATTTTGCCACACAGAGGGTAAGAATTCTAAAAGCAAGCTGTGATGCCACTTGGGGACCCAATTCTATTTAAACTTCAGACCATTCCAGCTCTGTCAAACCATACCAAATCAAATCAAAACATTTATTTCAACTTTGATAGAATATTTCAATCATTGAGGAACCACCAACTTCTTCCAAGAAAGCAAATTCCAAACATGCGTACCTTTAAAACTTCAAGAGGGTGGCATACAAGCGTGCTAACAATCCCAGCAGCTGCACCAGCCATGGCAACCGGAGAAAGCCATGAGAGAGAAAATTTCAAACTGACATGACCAATTTGCAACTGTGGGCATTCAGTCTGACTCCAATTCTCTTGTAATGATATCATTGTACGTTTGACGCACTCAAATGTTCCAAGCTCAATTGCCTGGGAGGGAACTATGCGCAGCATATTGATTGCGTTTCCAGCCCACAGGCCTTTCCAACCATGCTGTTCAACAATCTGAATGAAACTACCATAAATGTTTCTAGACCCAACACCAACCACCATTCTCGTCCTGAGAATTTCATATTATTAGATTAGACAGAAGAATTCTGGAAGGTATTGCATGAAATAAATTAAATCAATACGACGAGCAAAATCACTTCAAATAATGTCTCCTGTCAACTGAAAAATCAAAAACCAAAAAGGAAGCTTGAATCATGAGATAATTCTTCAGTAAGATGTATGGTTTCAAATATTATAACTGAGTTCAAGGTGCCACCTTACAATTAAGTCTACCACAAGAAAATAGAATCCATGTGACATAATTCATTCACAAATAAATAACCCTAAGACCAACAACTTTTCATTAGTGTTATACATTTTCCTATGTGGCTCAAAGACAATAGCATTCACTCAAACTATAAAACTGCCGTGAAATCAGTGAGCTTCGAGTAAACATGAGCTGGAAAAGGCCAATTTAAAGAGGGTAAGAGCATCATCTTGATGTTGGAATTGAATCGAAAATTCTGGAAGAACTTAGTTCCAATTTCCAAAGAAGTAAATACTGAGAAGTTAAATTAAATTGCATTAAAATTTTTCGAAAAGGAGAAATGGATTCTAAGCCAACGGAAGTTGACATACTGCATGCTACGAATTAATATTAATCAGTCAGCTTTTGTTTCAACATGACAGAAGGAGACAGCAAGTATGTCTAAGCAATTATTCACGCTTTCATGAAACTCCATATAAATTCATACTGCAGAAAAGAACTGCCTCATTTCAAGTAAAATGGAGTATGTACCATGAGAAAGCATTCCTGAATTTTTAATCATCAACATATTGCCTCTAACCTTCCAACTGTGAACGATTTGACATGAACTTTCCTTTAAAAACTGATCAAATAACATTTCCGAAATGAATGTATAATGCAAATTGCTTCATTTATAGGGTAAGCAGAAGCAACTAGAAGCAGAATCGGGGAAGGGGAAAAAGAACACCTGATGGTCTCAAGAGGAGCGAGAATGGCTTTGGTCATGGCCCCTGCTAAAGCACCACTAAGGAACTCACCAGCTTCTCTACTTCTCAGAATATCCTGAACCAAAGCAAACCAGTCTATTCACTTTTAGACACCCTCTTTTCAGTTGCTGTCACCATTTTGAACTTCAAACAAAATTGACGCTCATATGTAAGATAATTTATACTTGAAACTTTACATATGGGCAATTAAGATGGTATTCACCAATCATTCAAGATTTGCAACAGGTTCATATTTAGCAAATGAAATGTCATGCAAATCAAGAAACTGAATAAAATGGAATCCAGTGGCTGCCATACCGAGTATAAGAGAACATGAGAATATAAAGAAGAAGAGGGGGAAGAAGGTAGAAAAGAAATTGGGAGAAAGTGAAACTTAGGAGGAGAAAATCAATATCAATTCAATATCAAATTCTATATACCGTGAAAACCCTACACATACTTTTAGGTAAAACCTCTAGTAAACAAGGAAAGCTCACAACCTAATAGAATCGAAAATTAAATAACTTCCCAAGATATTTATTTTTTTATGACAAAGTAACAATCTATATTATGGAAAGTATTCGAATAATCTCTCTTAAGATTTCCATCACCAGTCTTCGCAATTGTTCCAAATAAATGAAAATACTCGGATCTGTAGAATTGATTGGTAAAATAGCAAAAACTTGATGACTGGTAACACGGTGAAGTACAACCAAGAAGGAAAATAATAGTACTCACATAATACAACCTTTTTCAGCAGATAAAAGCAAAAAGAAATAAAACAATACTTGAAAAAGGAAAGGTTCGAAAGAGGAAAACCATGAAAAAGAAACCTGAAAGGCTTCTCCAATATTGGGTACACGAAATGGAAGCTCGAGATGAAATTCCCTGTTAATATGCGAAAGTGAAAGCGCGTGAGAGTGAGATTGAAGCTCCAGCTCCTCCTTGGGTACTATCATGACTCTGTAAACGCCTCCCATTAAGCTGTAGCTCTTCTTCTGTGATTCCGATTCGAAAGCCATTATTACTACTCCCAAAATTCAAATACTAGAATGCAGTTATACTAGAGCTGTTTTCAAATCCGAATTCAAATGAAAATTCTAGTTTATAGAGGTATACATTTCGCTTTCTTATGCAGTTTAGTGTTTACCGACCACGTGAAAAAAACTAGCGATTCAATTGATATAAAATTGTGAAAAATGCAATAAAATCAAAAGCTGAAAATTGATAGAAAATGACATGCCAGGGATTGGAACGGAGTCTTTTGGATCGTCTGAACAAAACCACCCTCCAACCCTTGAAGAGAGATGAGAGAGAACGAGATATTTTCAGGGTTCTTCTTTTGGAATGGATTGCAATTGGAATTGCGAGGAGACTGAAAGGTGTGGACCGGGGGTTGTGGTGGGGTGGCGTGGGGACTCTGTTTGAATTTTGGGGCGTGTTTGATCAGTTTAGGGGTCTGGTGGCAGCAGTTGTATTTTTACAAAAACTTTCTAGGGCTTTTCCTCAAAGTCCACGTTTAATTAAGCTTTAAAAAGTTACTTAAAAGCAAATAAGTAAAAATTAGGTCGAGGGTCACTTGCCTACTATAAGTACATTGCTTACCACTTGTGTTGAGTTGAGAATCACGACTAATTATTTGTGTGATGCTTGACGAGAAGAATAAAAAGGTATTGAATATTGTTTTGGTTGTGTTGTACGTGTACGTGTACGTGTACGTTGACATGTACATGTTTTACTTCAATATAAATATTTTTTCATTAGAAATAAAAAAGAACAATATTTTTTGCAAGTAGTGCTTACTCATCAACAATTACAATATGCACCCCAAATTCGTAAAATAATGTGACAATTCCTTTACTGCACATATATATTGATGGATAAGTGCAATTTCAAATGCTGTGTATATACATTTTAATTCTAAAGAAGGTTATCAATCTTAGCTCATTGTCGCACTTATGTCTCGAGCTTATTCTGTTGCATTCTTATCGTCAATCTTTCATTATTTAACACATCTGACTCTAATGACGATTTTGTTATGAAAATTATTAGAGGGTACAAAAAGGTTTGTTTGTCCCTCGTATTTTTTTAATAAACAAAGATGAATAATTACAAAGGTTTGACAACTTGTTTGTTCCTCGCTTCAAATCATACTAACAAAATATTTGGATGGAAATTGTCATTAGTCGTGATATACTGATTAATGGAAGGTTAAAGATAAGAATGCGATGAAAAAATAAAATATATAAATATGATAATAAAAAAGGCCAGAACATTCATTGTAAATATACCAAACAAAACTTGTAGCATGAATATAATTATCAATAAAATATCATGGTCTAAAGACATTCAAAAGTTCTATTTGAACTAGATTGTCCATCACTAGGTGGATGAAGATAAAACCAATGAAATGTCCACAAATGCATAGCCATCATAATAAAGGCAAATGTAGCACTTGCCTAATGCTCAATTTTGCTTTTGCTTTTGTCACCATGCTACATAAAAATGAGATGCAGATAGAATGTTTGCCTAAGTTAACTCATAATTGGCAAAATTCATGGTTTCATTTTCTACTGAATGGATGACATAAATATTGGGAGAACATTTGGCCGTCTTGACGTAAATGAAAATACACCCCCTTTTTTTTTTTTTTAGGATTTTGAATCTTAGCGAACTACAAATTTTGGATGTAATTGGGGACGGATGTAGGAGGATTGGATTAGAATGTAACCCGGTCCAGTTCCCAGCCCACTTCAATTTTTTGGTTAAAAAAAAAATATGTAAAAAAATTTAAGAGTAATTTTATTTTTTTTACATATTAGTCTTTCTTGTAGTCTGGTGCTGAATCTGTTCCTGGATGTAATGTGCTAAAAAACTAGCCACTTCTTACAATGCTTGAGTTATCTGCCATGAATTCTTGAAATTTTGAGACGTGGTCAAGCTTGAAACTTGTCCAAGAGATAAATATATAGTTTTGCTGCTATTGGTGAATATGTTTAGTGAAATGGTTGTTTGTTTGAATAACAAAGTAATGGTTAAGTTTAATTCGCATGAACATAATTAAATTATATGTAGACTATAAAAGAAAAGAAAGAAAGTGAAGGAAAGCAAATATGAGGCAAGTGATTAAAACTTTTTCTTAAGACAAAATTCCCCCACAACGGTGCTAACGGATTATGGCACTTGTCTTCCAAGATATAACATATACAACTTGTAGCAGAAACACTCCAAACCACAATTAACCGCGAATTCGAACGAAATTTTTTCCCTCTACAAGAAAATAATTTTGAATGATTTTTAGAGTGTTTTTGCAAAAGATTTTGATGTCATGCTCAGTGCAAATTATATGTGATGTATAATGGACGTCCAAATGGTCATATTTATAAAAGATAAGAGGTTGTGAGTGAAGAGTCACACCTCAAAACTCAACAACTTTCACGAAGGGAAGCATCCCTTGCTGTCGCCAGTGTGTCGTCTACCTCTCACTTGAGCACCAGTGACACTTGTTCAACATAAATTTTTTCGCCCGCCTTTCGTTCAAGCGACAGTCTCACCACTTGAGCGCTAGGTAAGTGGTGGAGTTAAGCAAATTTTTGGCTAGTTTTTCCCTCTTTTCTTTACAACTTTGGACCTCAATTTCTCATTCATCTTGAATTGATTTTGAGATTCCAAATATGCTACGACGATCTACTTGATGAGTAGAATTAAGTTAGTCTATTTATATATATAATTTGACTATCGAATCAAATTCGAATATTTGGTCAAAATTGTTACAAAGTCACTTTTCAAGTTTTATACCTAACCAAAATTTTCAATCTTTAAACCAAATTCTAACAGTTGCCGCTTCTATTTATCCTACATTGGCAAGTCGTTAAATGGCAATCAGATGTCTAGCAAAGCTGCAGTGAAGGGGATTTAAGTAAACAATGAAGAAAGCAGTGGCAACCCGACTAGTGAACATCAAATTAATGGGGAAATATGATGTGGGTAAGGGAGAAAATAATGGAAAGACGAGAAGTCATTTTTATAATTCTGAAAAGAGGAGTGAAATAAGCATTTGAGACAAATAGCCACTGATGTTCAAAACTGGTTTAAGCATGATGGGCACCAACAGAATATGGAAAAGGGAACATCGTCTTTTGAAAGAAGCCATAAGGATGAAGAAGTTGGCGATGGAGCTTCTAAACAATTGGAGGTACCCAAAAATTCAACTGTGAAAAGGAAACTATAGTGTGAAGCTATTGGCGCTCTTCTTTCATCTGCTCTTATACCTACAAAGAAGCCAAAATCTTCCACGAAGTTCTTGTCTGTGAAAAGGACTCCTTCAACATGCAATGGAGATAATCAAATTAGACCACCAAAGCCAGAAATAAGTCACTTGTTTTGACAACAAGGTAAGAATTACTTTCATAAAAGTAACTTTTCCTTCTTAAAAGGTAAGAAATGTAAATCGAGGTCCCTCATTTTGCATTTAAAGGTAATTACTGCCATTTCTGGCAGTGGCTGGCATGGAGAGATTGTTTCAGAAGATCGTAATTATGATACATAGAAAGTACCAATATTACAAGCTTTACCTCCTTTGGTTTCACTTTGTATATTTACTGCTATACTTCCTACAATCAGCAGGGCAGGAGCATATTTCACTAAGCTTAAAATGTTGTAAGCAAATAAGTTCCAAATTAATGTAAAGCAAGAGTTAGAAAAAGCAAGTTATCTGAAGATAGTAGGATACAAAAAATAACTTCGACTTTTAGAGCTTATGCTCTATTATGATCATCACATCTTGTGTTGGACTTTGATTTTGTATTTTTTATCTAGAATGTTTTTGCTATATCTATGATTTTGTTAAGAAGAGATTAATTTATGGAGACGGGGGTAATTCTGGTGTAAATCTCTCCTCCTACTTTTCTCCATGGATACATAAGATAGCCATGGAAAAATTTAGAGACTCGTCATTTTCTTGCCACCTGAGAACTTTTCCTCTTTTTTTTGCACGAGTTATTGCATCTTCCCACGCCACTAGAAGAGGAAAACAGAAATGGTTCGTGCAGCCACTAAGCTAGCAGTCGGAGCTGAGTGCAAGTTCCAGATGGTAAACTCATGTCTCAAATTAGTCACATCTCTTTGTCTTATGAAATCTCCAAATGGTAAAACGTTTGCATAGAAGTATATGAGAGAAGAATTTCAAAAATTCAAAGGTGTTCACAAAAATTGGGTAAAATTATTATAGGAATTTTGCCCTTTTGATTGACTGTTGTAGTGTTGTGACCGAAAAATTATTTGCAGTTCCAGTTATGGCTAAGGCCCTACGAACAGCATGCAACACGGTTACATGCCCATACACGCTTTTCGTACTGCACAGATAACCATAGAATCAATGTTAGAACAATACATTTAATTCTACATAATCACTTTATAAAAAAAGTCTATCCAAGTCAAGTACTCATACAAATTATGAAATTTTTACAGGATACTCTTTCGGGCTAAAGCCGAATGGCACTTCAACACAACTCACTCTGCAATCAGTTGGATCCCAAATTAATTGAAGCCCATCAGCGTCGGCTCACTGTCACCACTTTGTGGTTCGTCGACCATCCAATCCTTAATTGGTTCGATCTCACTGGCAGAGAAGTATATGCTCTCACTCGTCTCAAAATTCTGTAGCTGCAAATTATAATGGACGAATGTCAGATCCCTCAATGTCTGCTGCTCTATACAATTCTGTCCCTTTGTGAGTAACAACTCGACCAAACTCCTTTTCAACTTGAATTTCGAGGCACCATCGCAACTCTGGCTAAGAATGTGAGTTGCCATTCGTTGCAATTCAGGATATTTTTCTCCAAAATTTGTCCACCAGAGTGCTGCCATTAGCATTTGAAAGTTGGGATAATTCAACTAAGGAGCAAAGTTTCTAGAATATAATATCTAAGCTTATCTTCTAGAAAAAAAACACTTTTTTTAGACACAAGCGACGTGCTCTTACTTGTTATAAGTAAACTCTGGGCGCAATTTTTCTTTTTTTCGGATTTTAAGCAAAAATTTGACCGTTATACTTATAAATCTCATTTCTTTACTCCATTATTATATCTGACATGATTCAGACTCACAACTATAACATTTAATCCCTTTGATTTTTCATTGCCAAGTTTACCCTTTTATCAATCAATGAATTACAGGTGCCCAATTCAAAATGTGTACAAATAATGCACACACTTTTAAAAAGGGGTATAAAGGACTTTTCTCATCAATTTTGTATTTTCAAAGTAGGTCTACCATATAGCAGGCGGGGCATTTAATGTGATGGGAAAATCAAAATTTGGAAAAAAATTGCGCCCAGACAGAGGCTAAACTTTTTAAGCATAGCCAAACATGCCACGAGAAACAAATAGCAGCAGTTAAAATGACAAAACCTGGTGAAACATCTGATAGGCATTTGGATCCCACACTGAAAGCATCCGCTGCCATTAAATAATCTTGAAACTGGGTCATTATTAGCTCTTGAACGTGGCTATCTCCACCCATCTTGATAACAGAAAGAAAAAGTCCACGGCAAACTTTTAAATCATTTTTGAAACCGTCTGTATAAAAAAGATTAGGATTTAAATTGTAACCGGCACAGTGAAGTGGGCTGTGGAGATGCGTGTTCCAAATCTCATTTATTTCTTTCCAGAACGGCATATACTGGCTTTCCTTGTTTTTGAACCCCTCTTTGATTGTTTTCATGGCTTGATCCATTGTTTTGTATATAAGACCAATTTGAGGCTTATTGTTCTTGTTTATCAAGCATAACACCCGTACTATAGGAATAGCCACTGTCAAAACCACTAATGCCCCATTCCAAAAAGTAGGATCTGCCACCAAGTAAACGACATTTTTTCCATCGATGGAATCTGACAGATCTGAGGTTCTCCACTCAAATGAAGAGAACATGTTTTCCAAACCCTTCTTCTCCAAAACAATATTCTCAAGGGTCAAGTAGGGCTCTGTCGACCTAATTTTGGAAGGCTTTTCAAGGTTATCTACCCGAGTATAAGCTCTCAGAAGTTTCAGGGCACTTGGGTGGTTCTGAACGAAGCTTGTTATCTTTCTGGCCTTCTCCAATATATCTCCAACGAAAATCATACTTTCAAATTTCTCTAACATTAGTTCTAAGCAGGTAGAAGCACTCACTGTCCAGAAAACATGTCTGTGCTTGTTTGTCAGCCGCTCGCCCACTTCTTTCATGAAGGATGATGTCGAATATGTAATGACTTGAACCACATTCTCGACCCCAACTTCTGCCAGAACCTTCTCGAGGAACAATAACATCGCATCAACATCCCCAACAAAAGCTGAAATATCAGATGATCTAAGATAAACTGCACCCTTGGGGCAATTCACTAAAATATTCACAAGGTCTCGACCTTTCTCATCTACCCAACCATCCAGTACAATGCTGCAACCTGTACTTGTCCATGAAGTTCTTATATCCTTCACAAAATTTTGCATCTCTTTTACAGCATCCTCAAGGATCCACCCTTTTAACTCCTCACAGCTGGGAATTATCTTCCCATGACCAAGGGTGGAATCAATCATTGTGCGAAAGCTACATGATTTGACAACATTAAAATCAGTTGCCGTCTCATAGAAATATCTACCTATACTTTTTTTAGCCTTGTCCAATGACGGATCTCTAGTGCTATTGGCAGGCATCTCTAAAACCACTCTCTCAGGAGAAGGGATGGTTTCTGTCACACTGTTATCTGATTGGTTGTCCCTTTTACGATGCCGTTTAGTCCCAGAACTCCCAGTCTCGATGAGATCTATCATATTGCGCTTTATTGATTCTGTCCGAGGGCTCTTATTTCTCTTCAATGGAAAGCTCGAGTGGTACAATTCTCCAATTTCCTTGCTTAAGTTTACCTGTTTCTTTAGAGAAACCTCGTTATTGAACATTTCCTTCACATCAGTTGGAACTTCTAAGCAAGGGATCACATCCCCCCGAATGCCTCCCAAGTGGTATTTGAGGCGACTGAAGCCACTGACAACTTTGTCACAATAATTACATTTGACTCTATTCTTCTGCAGATCTACTATACCACCATGATCTTTGACGTTAATAAGGAGTTCATTCGAAGTCATCTTCAAAATTGTATTTGACTGCAGAAAATTTGATAGGATTGGCCTGGGGAAAAAATTTATGCATTAGAAGAATAGAAGAACTAGCGAAAAGGCAAGTATAACATGTAAAAATATGAGATAACTACCGTGATCTACAATATTGATACGGACAACATTAATTCTACATAAAATTTCTTGCAACAAAATATTGAGCAGCCGATAGTGGAAAAAATTCTGGTCCATTATCGAGAAAAGTAAAAAATTTGAGTAAGCTACTTGAAATACAAGTAAATTTGTCACACGAAAGAACACAATGAAGTAAAAAAAAAAAAGATAAAAGAAAGACCATTTTGTAAGATATGGTGCGTGGTTGAAGATCTAGAGGTGTTAAAATGCGAATTGTGGTCACAGGGGCGGAGCCGGGGAACAAAAAAAATTCTGCTAAACTGATACATAGAACAAAAAAATTCCGTGGAAAAAAAATCCCTTAAAAAAACTAGAGCTTCGGGGGCAGGCCTGGACGCCCCCTTCATCCGCCCTTGTGCGAGTGTGTGGTCTAGCCAGACAGCCTTACAGAGCCGGACAGAAATGGAGAGGCCTGAACACTGTTCGATTGTTGCCAATTTCTTTTTTTTTTTTAAGGATTTTAGTAAAAAATGAAAAAAAAAAATTTAAAATACCCGCAGGTCCACCTGAAAGGATCGGGCGTGACTGTCCCGCCTCACAGGTCAAGCTAACCTTCGATCCCCACTTTTTACTAGCAGGGCAAGCGGAATTTAGTTGATTCACCCCATTTTGACACCAATAGGTAAATGATGCTTTACCAAAATCAAGATTAACAAAAAAATGCCTCAACGCGCTCATTTCGACGCAATTCTCAGAAGTCCAAACAGGGCTTGCTTTGCTTTAGATGTGAGTTCACAAAATATAAAACTTTTTCGCTTTGTAAAAAGAAAAAGAGCAAGCGTATCCACTTTTCAAGAGAGGGCACAAGAAAACACCCACAGCTCGTTAAACCCACATTATATTTTTCAACTTTTCTTGGCTAATAGGCTGAAACATAAGATGATAATAGGGTGAGATTAAAAAAAAATACTCATTTACAGCCCATGTCTATTCATTTAATGTTTTTTTAAAATACTATTTAAATTGTAAAATATATAATAAAATAAAATAAAAAAACACTCGCGAAGGGGCAGGACAGGATAGGATCGAGTAATTTTGTCTGTCGAAACCCGTATCTGACAAGCCCTGCCTACACAAGGTGAACAAACCCATGACCCGGACTTCTTCGACTGATCCAGGCTTGGTCCAGCCAGTTTCGATACAGCAACCTCGCACACGAAAATTTACCACCACCAAAAATTTCAGCAAAACCCCCTAAAACCCCCCTTCGCCCGGGCCTCTCGATCCTGAACCCCTTTGAAATTGCCATTGATCTTTATCTCCCTCCATTCCCTTCAGTTCTCAATCCATCATAGGGGGCTACAGAGCATTTCTATTGATGTTTCCCATTGAAAAAAAAACCCTAATCGAGACTCGTGCAATTTCAATAAACCCTAATTGAACACACCAAATTAGCAAATGAGCTTAACAGAAACAAAAAAACAGGGAAAAAATGGAGCCATACCAGTTCTTTAATCAACAAGCCGGAATGCTGGTCCGAAACTGAAGTGAAGAAGAGAAAAAGAATTCAGAATAAACCTATTTTTCACATCTGAGAGCAATTCCAGCCTAAAAAGCGCAGTCGAAAGCACGGAGACAAAGTCGGGATAAGAATGCACTGAAAATGTAACGTAAAATCACTCCCCTTTACTGCTCTTTGACTGTATACGGATTTGAGTTCTCTCTCTTCTCTATATGTATGTGTATGTATGTATATTGGGGTGTGATTGGTGTGGGGACTGGAATTGGAGTCTGGGATTAGAGTAATTCATTCTTGGATTTCCGTCCAAGCCTGTGGCTGCGATGACGCGTGGTGGTTCGGAGGGTGGTTTGCACTTTGGGCCACCAGCCAGTTTCTCCAATGACGCGCTCAAACCGCGCGTCTGTTCTCCGCTCGTATAAGTTTAGGAATTTATTACAAGTAAAAATTAGACCTGGGCTTCCAACCTTTATTCAGTGAATATTTGGGTCCCCAAACTATATATGCAGCGACTTTAGAATGTGCTTTCATACTTGACCTATATATTGACTCCGTCGAAGTGGCGGATTGGCAGGTTATTGGTTCAACCGACGATTATGAAATGTGATAAAGTATGGTTAAGCATAGTAATTATAATTAAAATAAGTTCTCTCTAGTATTTTTTAGTTTTAGACTTGATTTTATATGACAAGCCACAATCAATTTTATGAAAATCAACTTGTTAATAGTATTTGTACCATCTATAATTTGTATATTGATCAAAAGCTCGATCCTTGTAGCAAATAGAATGCATTTTGTGCCCTGCTAGTCCATTTCAATTTAAATTTATGTTGGCCAACTTTTTCACAAAAACTGCCCAATTAGGGTGAATAAAATTGCTCAGTTGGCTGCTATTTGATCGGTTATGGTGACCATGTCACTTTCAAACCGGTTCTTTCAGCAAACCTGAACTGACTTGCAGACTTTGTCATTTTGAAGGAAAATTGCCTTTACCACGTGTAATTATGTTCACACCATAGTTTTTGTTTGCTACAACACATTTTAATTGCAATGAAGATCCCCAACTTTTGCTTATTGTCGCACTTATGTCCCCATTAGACCGTATTTGCCAATAAGCCACAGTTGTTTTATTCTCTAGGAACAAGTATTTCGATGGTGCAAAACATGTGGAGAAATTCTTGGCCGTTAAAGAAGAATTTTAGAAACAGAAAGTGTCAATTGAACATGTAATACCAAAGTTATAATTGTAGACCTTTTAACGAAAAGGACGACACCAAAGATATTTAAAGAACATGTCAAAAGAATGGATATTAAACGTAATTGTGATAAATCAACATAATGAGTATTTTGACACTCATAGTTCACTTGTGTGTTTATGATATTTCATGTTCAATTGTGGTATACATGGATGATTTATAGCACGAATATCTTAAATACATTGCTGTTGTACCATAATGATTGTTCTTGAGTTATGGATGACGTTGATGGAACTATGTCGAATTAATGACGTATGACCGCCAACTTGCATTATTTTTTAGCTAGCTTATGATGTATGTTGTGACCAATTAAGGAATTTATTAATGAGAATATGTATGTTATGTTAATTAAACCATATTAAGGATTATCGCATGAGAATGAATTCTTTATTGTCGACGTCTTATGCATGGCTACAAATAAATGAAGTTTATATGTAAGATGGCTTAAATGAAGGTCCAAAGAACACTTGTGCAATAATGTATGATAATTCATGAGTGTGATGGATGTGCATCCGAAATGCTATAAAAAGAGACTGTTCAGTCGGACTCCATTCTATAGAACTTTCAAAGTTTACATCTTTCTTCTTTGTTATGTGCAAGTTGCTCAAAGAAGGGTATCCACGTACCAAGTCTGGGTCGCAAAAGTTCTGAAAGGCCTATGATGTTGCCAGGGGTGGACGCGTTAAGGGTCTGGTGGGTGCAATTGCCCCCACTGGACCCTTAATTTTTGACATTTGAAAAAAAAGCCTACATAATATTGGCCCAGAATTTTTAACCCAAACCCAACAAAGCGAGTCTAATTTAAAATTATTTTACGTAATTGTGTCTCGCCTACTCTTAGATGTGTCAATCTGTGTCCAAGAGGGTATCCATGAACCTTATAGCATTTATCCACAGAGTGCCTTGTCTTGTGGCATTGGCTGCAAGTTGATTTGTTGGGATTGGCTTTAGTGCATCTCTCTAGTGAATGTCCAGGCACCTTACAGAAAGTGCAATAGTATTTTTCTCTGTCCCATCCCATTCTGCCTTGTTGAATTACATGAGATTCCTCTGGTTCCAAGGGCCATGGAGTCAGGTACAGGGGTATCCATTAAGATTTGTCTCCTTTTTCCCTCTTGTTGAATTATGGAATATACTTCATTTAGAGTAGGAAAATGCTTGATCAGTAGAATTTGAGCCCTTATATGAGTCATTCAGCCACATCAAAAACTTCATCACCCAGTCTCTATGTTGGTTTTCAATCACATATTTGAAACCTCCACAAGTGCAATTAGGAATGGACTCTTAGTTTATCAATTCATCAAGGAGTTCTTATATTTTGAGAATTACACACTTACCATATCTTCATTCTGTATTAGTGTAGCATGCTTTACTTCATAGATCTGTGGGGCATTTTGTTGTCCTAACTGATGCTCCAGGTTCAACCATATCTCACGAGCTTTGTCCGGGTGGTCCGGGCCTGGTCATCCCGCCAACATATGAGCCTGGTAACGGCCCGCGTGAAAAAAAGCCTGCTCGCTAGGGTTCTGGGCCGGTTCCGGGTCGACCCACAAATTTTGGACTACAACCAGGCCCGCCCGTTGAACCATCAGGGTTGAGCCCATGCGGGTTGTGGTTTGTTTCGATTTGACTCGTATTATTATATACGTAAAATTATAAAAATATAGAATTTTTCATATTTATAACAAAAAAATATTTTTTTTTGTTAAATGTAAACTAAGAATTGAACAAAATGATAAATTCATATTTATACCAAGTAATGTTTACATAGAATTCAAATTTAATGTTACATGAATTATTTATAACTTTACAAAGTTGAATTTAACTTAAATAAATAACAAATAAATGTATTTCTAATTACTATTATCAAATATTTATAGTATAAGAACAACGGCTCTCCCCCCCTTTTTTTCAAATTTTTTAATTTTTTTTCACGGGTCAGCGGGTTAACCGCGGTCCGTGAAGGTGCAACCCGTGAAGCCCGTGGGTCACACCTCCTTGACCCATGAACCGCCCGCTCGGGTCACGGGTCGACCCGCGGTCCTGGGTCGATCCAGACCAGTTTTCACGGGTCTGATCGGCCCCGTCCGTCTTGACACCTCTACCTACTCTGAACCATA